TCAATTATGTTATCATTATCTTTGTGTCGAATGTTAATCTTTCTTATGCCATAAATGAGACTGTGGTCACTAATTCCAGTATGTATTACACCACATTTGGATATTTTTCCTGGCTCATTGGTAATAAAATGATCAATAAGTGTGGAAGATGTCCTAGTGATCCGTGTGGCTTTATCAATTATCTGGGATAATTGATAAATTTCGAGTAAAGATTTAAGTGTCTTAGTTGGATGGTCAGGAATAGACTTAAAAAGGTTGCAGTTAAGATCACCCAGTATATAGATTTCCTTGTTTTCGTTATCAATCTTTTTTAATAGGTTCTGTTGACTCTTTTGCCACAATTGGGCAATTAGTAAAAACAATAGATGATGAAAATAAGGAATTTTACATACTTGGTGACTTAGGGCCTGTTTATATGGAAGCCGGGTTGGCCCGCTTAGCGAGACAGCCCGCTAAGCGAGATCTCGCTGTGTAGTTATTTTTATAGTAAAAATTATCTTGCGTTTATATGGACAAGCGGGCTGGCCCGGTTGCTGAGATCTCGCTTGAAAGAGGCGAGGACTTGCTTACCGGGATGGAAATTTCTCCATATAAACACTCACAAGCGGGCTAGCCCGGTTGCCGGGATGAAAGTTCAAAGATACCGCCGCAAGCTATTTTTAACTGTCAAAACAACATCAATGTAACAAAATTGTCCCGGCAAGCGGGATGAAATTTTCTCATATAAACACAAGAGAAATTCATCCCGCTTATCGGGCTGTCTCGCTAAGCGGGCCAGCCCGGCTTCCATATAAACAGGCCCTTAAATCCTAACATGCTTGACACCTCAGACAATGCCACAAAGAATTTAAATTCAATCATGGAATTATATCAATTATCGCAAACGATAAACACACCCACCCGTGTGACCACGACCTCATCCTCCCTAATAGACGTTTGTCTTACTCCCACTCCAACTAAGTTAATAACATCACAAGTAATACCGATTACCATTAGTGATCATTACATGATCTTCGTTGTTCGTAAAATAAATATCCAGCGCAAACAAAACAGTCACAAGAAAGTTGAAATTCGTAATTTAAAATATTTTAATGCTGAGAGTTTCCAAGCTGACCAGCGTGGTGAAGAATGGGAATTATTAGATAACAATATCTGCGTTGATAAGATGTGGGACACATGGAAAACACTTTTCGTGAAAGTTCTTGATAGGCATGCCCCAATCAGGGAAAAGAGAGTTAAAAATAAACCAAATGTTCCTTGGCTCACTAGTACAATTAAATAACAAATCCGCAAACGCGATCGCCTTAAATCTCTTGCTATTAGACATAAATCGGAAAATTACTGGAACGCATACAAAACCTCTAGAAATCGCGTAATTGATGCATTGCGAGAAACAAAAGCAGCATATTATAAGGGAGAATTTAAGAAAGTCAAACATGATCCCAAACAAGCATGGAAAACTGTGAATAAAATCCTAAACCGTAAACAAGAAAGTAGAGAAATAAATTGTCTTGAAACACAGAGAGGACAAATTTCACATCCAACGGAGTTAGCGGAGTGTTTTGTTAATTATTTCACCAATATTGGTCCAGATATTGCCAAAAATATCGATAATGGTGACAGAAATTTCAAGGATTACATCCCGACAACTAGTAGCTTTAATTTTCAAACAGTGTCTGAATCGAACGTATACAGACTTCTGTTATCTTTAAATCCTCGTAAATCTACTGGAATTGACAAAATCCCTGCTAAAATTATTCGCATTGCTGCTCCTGTAATTACAAACTCATTGACAAAAATTTTCAATATGGACATTATAAGTGCAACTGTTCCTTTTGAGTGGAAAATAGCAAGAGTCACTCCCTTATTTAAAAACGGCCCACGAAACTTATTAAACAACTATTGCCCCATTTCTATCCTCCCTGTAGTAAGTAAACTTTTTGAAAAAGTATTATACGAACAACTCCATGAGTATCTTGTTACACAGGAGTTGTTGTCCCCTCGTCAATTTGGTTTTAGGAACTTTCATTCTACAGCCTCTGCTCATTTAGATAGTACAAATGAATGGTTTATTAATATGGATCGTGGTTTGTTTAAGGTGGCTCCCTACAGTTCCCTAAAATTCTAGGTACTTTGTGTATCGTTCGCTTTGAACCGAATTTATATTAGATACACTTAAGACAAGGCAATATGATCATTTCCAGGAAAGTTCAGAAGCTGTGTGCTGTCCATTTATGAAAAAAATTAAAACAGTGTTTGTGTTGCCATGGCAACCATGACGTTTAATCTTTTGCACTTTTATTGTCTAATTTCACAATAAATTGACAATATCTATATTTTCCTTCGGTGAATTTTTCTGAATTTTTTTTTTAAGATATAAGGTCCATAAAGGAAAAACATCAAAATTTGAAGGGAATTTACAAATAAGTTTTCGAGATATTCGTGAATGACGGTTACAGAAAAAGTTATTTGTAGAATTTCGTAAAATTTGGATATGTTGTACCACTCGTCTTGTATAACAAAAATACAAAGTTTAAAAAAATTTCACCGAAGAAAACACGAGAAAATCATCGCTAAAATCGGCGTGGCCAGCATAAAAAAAAATCGACTCGACATGAGCACGATCTGCGCATGCGTGTAAATTGAAGCGTGTGATTTATAATGATTTCAACTTTTTGGCTTACAAATACATAAGAAAACAGATATTTCTGACTTGTTTGATATGAAAATAAAATATTAATCTTGAAAATACTAATAAAAAACACTATTATAGGCATTGTATTAAATCCAGTGTTAGTTTACATTTGTTTTTGTTGTTAAAATCGGTGTGAAAACTTTTCTAAACATCGAACTACAAGTTTAACTTTTCATATAAAACAACTCATAACTGTTTTATTTGATTTAGCAGATAAAACGATCATACCTGTAAATTGAATTGATTGACAGAACTTATATAAGTTTCGGCAACAGTTCACTACTGTTCAAGAGTTAATAGAAGACAGTATCATTTCAGTTTGACAGCTCGCAAAACAACAAGTTGAAAATTTTGAGCAATATGAAAGACAATACTGAACGTAAATACGTAAAAACACACGAAAAGATAGGTTAAACTAGTTAATAACATACGTACTGTTCGAATTCAGGAAAAATTAGGATTATAATGAAAAACTGAGGCTTTCTTTGCAGATAAAAACGCCAAAAAACTTCCCACGGCTTGTTTCAATATTTTTGCCGAACAGTAAACACGACGATTCCACGCGCAGGTCGCGAGGATGAAGTCTGATCTATATAAATCGTATTTAAACTGTACTAACTGTAGGGAGCCACCTTAATATAGCTGTTTTTCTGGACTTACAAAAGGCGTTCGACACCATAAATCATGACATCCTGTTAACGAAACTTGATCTTTATGGCCTACAAAAGCCATCATTAAACCTTTTAGGATCCTATTTAGCGAATAGAACCCAAATGTGTTCCGTTAATGGCGCTCTGTCGGGCACGAAGTTGGTTACATGTGGAATCCCTCAAGGTTCAATTCTTGGCCCACTCTTATTCTTAATCTACATTAATGATCTGCCTAACAGTTTGGAGTACTTGTCGACAAGAATGTTTGCCGACGATACGACTCTAACTGTATCTGGCAAGTCAATTCAAGATGTAGAGGTGCCATAAATCATGACCTTACCAACGTTAAACAATGGCTTTCTGCAAATAGATTATCTCCTAATCTAGTCAAAACTGAGTATCTACTAATAGGATCTCGGTACAACATAAATAATTTACTTGCTGCACCAAATGAATTGGTTTTGGTGATACACCAATTAAAAAGGTCAAAGAAACAAAAGCACTTGGAGTTCATATTGACGAGTTTCTATCGTGGGATAAGCATATTGATAAAATTGCTAAGATTTCATCCGGAATTGGGGCGATCAGAAAGCTAAAATCCTGTGTGGATCATAATACATTAATATGTGCTTATAATGCACTTATACTTCCACACCTAGATTATTGTTGCGAAGTTTGGGACACCATTGGCGCCACACTTTCTGATCGACTAGAGAAACTACAAAATAGGGCAGCTAGAGTTATTACTGGCCGTAAAAACGAACACGGCCAATCTGAACTTGCTCTAGACGAACTGAAATAGAAACCCTTAAGTGAACGCAGAACACATTTCGTAGCAAGTCTTATGTATAAAATAACTCACGAACTGGCGCCAAAAAGACTAACCAACATTTTTCAAAGGACGTCTTCCTCTTATTACTATAATATGCGAGGCTCTTCCACCAAACTCTTTTTGCCCAAACCTAAGACTGAATATCTTAAAAAAAGTCTTAGTTATAGGGGAGCAAAATTGTGGAACAGCCTTTCAGATGAAGCAAGAAACAAACATTCTTTTGCTTCGTTTAATTCATGTATACGACACCTGGCCAATTAATTAATTAATTAATTAAGAATATTACATAGTACTAACATTAATAAATATGTAAATAATTATATACTAGTTGTATTTGTAATGTATTGTAATTGTTGTTAACTGTAATGTAATGTATGACCATAATTTGTATTAATTGTATTTTTAACTATTTAAATCTACGCTCCCCCACCCCCCCCTTGGAAATCAGCTCTCGCTGTAGGGGTTAGCGTAGTTAAATAAAGTTTTACCTACCTACCTACCTATGTACGCGTAGCGGACCTATTTTTCTAATACGTACACTATTTGAGCATACTGATATGTCGTATTTAAATATGACATTACACGATATAAAACAGACCCCGTGCGCTAATATTAACCCCAAGTCCCCAATGACCCTTGTACAGGCCGTGATTATGTAAACAACGACAAATACGATTCTATATGCGTTGGAAATGACTCTCAACCTGATAAAACATGTTAAAATAACGACTTTACTAATTACTAAGAATTTACACACATCTTTAATTGTTTATACAGTGTGAACATACGTTATGCACTTAAGCCTGGCGCACACAAAATCAATATGCCTCGTTGGCGGTTGATGAATCTAATGAAACTAATAGAACCAAATCAATATGCCTCGTTGGCGGTTGATGAATCTAATGAAAACAAAGATATGGATCATAATGTCACCCCTACTTCAACACATATAGAAAATTCGACAAACTCCGGTAGAAGAATACAACACCAAAAGGAAAAGCAAAGATACTCGGTCGAAACGACACAACAACACAATGCCTCAAGCTCAAAGTCTACCGAAGGCCCGATAGCGATCCTAGGAGACTCGATGTTAAAGAAACTAAGTCCTTCAAGATTACGCCGTTCGACTGGGAAAAAGATTATAGTCAAGACGTTTCCTGGAGCAACTACTTCGGACATGAAGCATTATATTAAACCTACTCTGGAGAAAAATCCCCAACTAGTCGTGATCCACGTTGGAACAAATGACATCCAACATAAAGAGCCCGAGGAGATAGCTAAGGAAGCTGAATCACTGTGTAGAACTATCATGGTGAACGGCTTGTCAAAAGTCGCTATTTCAGAGATCATCCAGAGGGCAGATGAGAAATTGAATACAAAAGTTAAAAAAACGAATGTTCTCCTGGCAAAGGTTTGTAAGAATAATAACTGGTCTCTTATTTCCAATAGTGATATAAATACTTCTAGCCTTAATGCATCTGGTTTACACCTAAATGATAGAGGAGCAGCAATACTAGCGAAGAACTATATTGATTTTTTTCGCAAATGACTATATTCATCACAAATATGCATTTTAGACTATCTTTGCCATATTAACAATTTATCAGATAAGTCATCGGAATCAAGAGTAAATGAACAAACTTCTACGAGCACTAGCTATAGCGAGAATACAAATGAAAATGAATCTTTAATTCCAAAAATTAGAGGCTTTAAAATGGCAAGCTTAAATATTGCTAGCCTTCTAAAACATATTGATGAACTGAGACTAGTAATGCATAATAATGATATTGACGTACTCGCAATTAACGAAACTAGAATGGATAGTACTATACCAATTGAATTGATATCCCTATCCGGTTATACTTGGGTTTCCAAAAACAGAAATAGATCTGGTGGTGGTGTTGGCTTTTTCATACGTGATACAATTAATTTCCAGCTTAGATCTGACCTTAACGATCCTAATATTGAAATCTTAACAATTGAAATTACCAAAAACAAAAGCAAGCCATTTCTACTTACCACATGGTATAGGCCCCAAACGACCCTATCGACACACTTTATAAATTTGAAAATTGCCTTAAATTGATTGATAATGAAAATAAAGAAAGCATTATTTTAGGTGACGTTAATTCGGATATCCTAAGTAGCAATCCTTCACATCTTGTCTCTGAGATGAATTTCATCACTAATCTTTATCAATACGAGCAATTGATAAATGAACCTACAAGAGTCACAAAAGACAACGCAACTTTGATTGATCACTTTTATACAACAAAACCAGACTTAATAATTTCTAGTGGGGTAAGAATTATCCCTATTAGTGACCACTACTTAATTTACGGTATTCGTAAATTTTATACAACCAAGGGAGCCCCGGAAGTTGTAGAATATCGGGATTTCAAGCACTTTAATGAAAACAATTTTCTTTTTGAATTGGAATCATTATCAAGCCTAAATTTAGACCATCTAGATCCCAACATTTCTTGGTTAACTTGGAAAAATAAATTTCTTCATATTGTCAATAAACATGCACCCTTAAAAAAACGTAGAGTGTCTAAGAAACGTGTACCTTGGTTAACCCGTGAG